AGTGTTGCCCCCGTACCGGACCGGGGACCGGCAACGGGATCGCAACCCTCGGTGTTGCTCCCGCGCCTCGCTCAGCCAGTGAGCGGGAACCGGTTTGTACATGGGATCCGAACCCTCGGGCGGGAGCGCCGCCGCGCTTCCCAAGCGGCGCACTATCCAGTGCGCCACCGGGCCGGCCCTGCTATTACTGTTATACTCCCGCTATTATTAGTGCTATTATCATTACTACAATTGTTACTGTTTATTTTTGCTCTGATGCTGACACTACCATTACTGTCATTACTGCAACTGCTATTACTCCTAGTCCGCTCCTGTGTGACTCTTGGCACGGCTTTTGCTACTGCCCAGGCTGGAGGCCTGCAGTGCTCACTCAGGCCTGGTTGGTGGAACCTTGGCTGATGGACAAGTCCTGGATCCCAGGATAGGAGAAGTGACTTCCTTGCCCTGGATGCATCCTGGAGTGTTTCTCGGAGAGTCAGGGCACTAATGGTGGCTAGTTAGCTCCATTTCACCCCAAACACACCCTGCCCCACCTTGGGAAGACAGGAAGCTGTTGAACGGCATCGGGGCAGCCACCTACACCAGGCTCCTCCCCTACTCACCAGCTTGACCGAGGATGTGGGATCTGGCACATGCACAGGGCTGTGTGAGTTGGCACTGGACTCAGTTTTTGAGACCTTGTCTCTGTCCCGGAGGAACCTGGATTTCACACACCCCATCCTGCAGCAGACAGAAGAAGGTGAGCCCAGGTCACTTGGAGCCCTGTGCAGGGGGTTCTGTTGCTGCTGCTGCTGGAATTCCAAGCCCCCGGCCCCAGGCTGCCTCCCACTTGCCTACCCTGTCTTAAATCCTCCTACCAGCCACTTACCCCCACCCTCCACACACGGAGCTCACTCTCCCTTGCCACATCTGGGCTTCCCCACATCCACATCTGCCATGGCGCTGGCCCAGAGCTCACAAGTCATCACAGTCATGGGTACTAAGGACCAGTGCGTTAGGGACTTTATTCTCAGACTAAGTCATGAGGATAACAGCAATGCAACATGTAGACCCCGAATGGGGAGAAGGTGGTGGGTGCCGCTGGCCTTTGGGCCAGAAAGCCTAGGCTGACCCTTGACCCTTCTGCCCCACTAGCACCTCACTGGTCACTTGCCCGCCCCTGCACCCTGTCTCAGCTACTCCTTGGCAAGACGAGGATAATAATGAAACTCACCCACAGTGTTGGAAGGATGAGAGGTGTGTGGGTGAGGAATACTCAGCACAGTGTCAGGTTCAGAGCAACAGTAAAGTAAAACTGTACTGTTATTATATAATACATCATCATTGTACATTAAATGACAAGGACGAGGTCACACAATGTGGCTCAAACAATCTAGCTAAACAATAGTCAAGGCCCCATGCTCCTGAGATCATTTTATAAGTGGCTTTTAACACCTTCCTCCCTCCCTCTCTCCCTCTCTCCCCCCTCTCTCCCTCTCTCTCTCTGTGTCTGTCTGTCTGTCTGTCTCTCTCTCTCCCTCTCTCTCTGTCTGTCTGTCTGTCTGTCTCTCTCTCCCTCTCTCTCTCTGTGTGTCTGTCTGTCTCTCTCTCCCTCTCTCTCTGTCTGTCTGTCTGTCTGTCTGTCTCTCTCTCTCTCTCTCTCTGTGTCTGTCTGTCTGTCTCTCTCTCTCAGATTTATTGGTCATTCCTTCCTTAATTCATTTGCTCAGCAAACATTTCTCAGCACTTTTCTAAACCGTGAACAAACAAGTTCACACCCTTACGGAGCTCAACTAGAGATGAACGGGAGGCACAGACAGTAAACAGGTAAACAAATAACATAAAACATTTAGTTAGTGAAAAGTGTGAAGACAAAGAGGATGTTATAGGGAACAACTGTGCAGGGCCCCTTTAGACAGGGCAGTTGAGGAAGGCCTCTCTGAGGAGGTGACATCAGACCCGGGGTCTGAATGACACAGAGGAGCCAAACATAACACATTCGAGGGAAGAGGGTTCCAGGCACAGGGAACAGCAAGTGCAAAGGCCCTGAGGCTCGAATGTGTTTGGAGAGAACGCAGCCCTGCAAGCCGGCCACAGTGGCTGGCACCCACCAGCAGGAGGAAGGATGGTAAGCGATGAAGCGCCCACATCTTGTAAGGCCAGCGAGGAATTTAGATTTTATTCTAAGGATGATGGAAAACCTTTTGGCAGGAGAATGATGGGATTCAATTTGTGCTTTCAATAAATGCTGGGTGAGGTATGGGCTGTAGAGAGCTGGGCAGGGACCCTGAGGAGCTGTTGCAGTTGTCCAGGAAGTAGATGATGGTGGCCTGGCCCAGGGTGGTGGCTGTAGAGGAGGTAAGAAGTGGACAGACTGGGGGGACATTTTGGAGGTAGAGTTCACAGACTTTGTTGCTGGATTAATTTAATTTAAAGACATGTATTAGTCTGTTTCTGTTGCTTATAACAAAATACCTGAAACTGGGTGATTAATAAAGGAAATGAAATTTATTGCTTACAGTTTCTGAGGCTGGGAAGTTCAAAGTCCAAGGAATGCATCTGGTGGTGGCGATAGTGACGCTGGGTCTCACATTGCGAGATGGTGGAAGCAGAGAGAGCAAGAGAGAGAGACTCTCCTCTTCTTTTAAAGTCCTCAGAACCACGCCTCTGACCACTATTATTAATTCATTCACTACTGCAGGGTCCTACAATCTAATCACCTCTTCAAGCCTCCACCTTTCAATTACCATAATAGGATTTCCCACCTTCTTAACAGTCACAATGGGAGCCAAGTTTCTAATACATAAAAGTTGGGGACACAATTCAAGCTTCAGGGAGTTTTGGGGGGACATAATTCAATCCACTGCAAGACACTTAAAGAAAACACATTTACCTGATTAGGGTCAAAATTTAATGGTAAAAGTGGCAGAAATGTTTCATTTCTTTTCTCAAAATGTGCATATGAGTTTGCTGAGAAGGTAGGCCAGGAGCAATCACATAAGGAAGTGGTTGTTTCTCCATCTCTGAACAATTGCAATTTTCTTCTAAAACAGTTAGAACTCAGTTATACTTGTCTTTTTAAAATAAACATGTGTTTGTGGTTTAAGAAAAAAAGATCCAAATTCCTAGGCTTAGGAGAATTACTTTTAAAAAGGAGAAAGATTCCTTTTATTTAAAAGGATTTGTCTGTCCTGGTGGGAATTGGGAACAATTTACCACCTCAGGACTTGAGCGATTTCTGCCTCATTTGCCTTTTGTGAATAAAGCAAGAAACATTCAGACTCTTGGAGTGCTGGATCATTAGTTTGAAAAATTATCACAATTAATCACTGTTTTATAATGTACTTGCATTCACTTAAAACTGAAATCAACAACTCTCTTAGATTTGTCATAAATATGTATCACAGTTCTGGGAAATTAAACAGCAGCATCTTGTGTGGTTTTTGTATGACATAAAATTATAGCACATTTTGTATATTTTGATCAACGTAAGAGTGTTCCCGGAAGAGCACTGCTGTGTGGCGTAGAGCAGCTGCCTCCACCTCTCTGAGCACCCACCAATCTGCATTGTGAACATCATGTTTCCCAATCCTGTACATATTGAGCACATATTAAGTATCATTTATGTTATTGATTACACATTCAAGATAGCAACAGGGTTCTGAGGGTCGGGTCCTGGACGGCCTTGTGTTCATTCACAATCTTAGGCTACCTCTGAGAAAGGATGGTGGGGTTCTACCTCTGGCACACAGTAAGCATTGTAGAAGTGTTAACGATAACCTTTTAGCGGGGGGCGGCTGGCTGGTATGGGGATCTGAACCCTTGACTTTGGTGTTACAAGGCTGTGCTCTAACCAACCGAGCTAACTGGCCAGTCAACCATAACCATTTCTGATGCCTAACAAATGTGGCACTACCCAGGAGCATCAAAGCAAGCACAGTTTGCAATTCCTTTGACCCACAAGTTTAGAGATACTGCAACACTGGAGAAGTTAACTTTTTAATATAGGAAATTCCCATAAGTTCCGTTTTTACACAATAAAACAGTGCGATTTTTAAAAGTGATATACTGGCAAGAGTAAAATTAGTGTAAAATGTGACCATCTCCCTAAACCAAGTGAACCACGTCCACTGCCTGGTGTGGAGTGGACATCAGAAATGTCCATTCTCATGCTCACTAGATCTAGAAATGTCGTGTGAACCACATGCAAAATTTAAAGTTTTCTACAGCTATGTTTTTAAAAGTAAAAAAAAAGAAAGAATTAATTTTAAGTGTACTTATTTATTATCCAATATATCAAAATTATTAACATGTAATAAAAATAAAAATTACTGAGATACCTTACATTCTTTATTTTTTGTTCTGAGTCTTCAAATCCCAGTGTGAATTTTACTTGGAAAGCACATTCCAGGTGCTCAATAGCTGGCTGTGGCTCGGAGCTATTGCATCAGTGCAGATATAGATTGCTGCCATCACTGAAGCACAGTAAAGGCTGGTCTCGCTCATGTCTGTGTCCCTCGGTGCTCAGCTCAGTGCCTGCCAGGCACACAGTAGGAGCATTCTGCACAGTTAGTGAATGAATGCATGCTCACAGCACAGTGCTCCATGCCGTAGAAAGTGTCAGGATGTGGTTTCTGCTCCAGGGACTGAGTTGACAAGGGAGGACTGGATATACGGAATTACATCCCAAAGCCACGTACAAAGAAGCTGTTAGGAAAGACAGAAAGCAGAATTGTGGTGGGGCCTGGCCAGTTAGCTCAGTTGGTTAGAGCACAGCTTTATAACCCCAGGGTCACAGTTTTGCATCCCTGTAACAGCCAGCCATCAAAAAAAAAAAGAAAAGAAAGAAAGTAGAATCCTGGTTGCCAGGAGCTGGAGTTAAGGGGTTTGGGGATATAGAATTTCAGTTTTACAACAAGCAAAGAGTTATGTTGATAGATTGTGGTGATGGTTTCACAACATTATGAATGTACTTGATACCACTGAAGTGTACCCTTAAAAACGATTAAGATGATAACTTTTGTTATATATATTTTTCCACAATTGAAGAAAAAAAAAGAAGCTATTAGAGAGTGCCAAAGATAGTCAGGGCCATGCAAAGGTTGCTGAGGTACTGCGTGAATAAAGCAAACTTCAAAACATGTATAACATCAAACCATTTTTGTAAGATGCATACAAATGTGTTTATGTGCATGTTAGTATGTTCACAGAAAAAACAACCTGTTACAATAGTGATTGAGCAGCAGGACAAGGAGTTGGGTTTAGAACAACAGGGAAGCTTTGAGTAAAGGTTTGGAGAAAGACAAGAGTGTTCCAAAGAACTAACTTCCAAAAAGGATCTGAAGGAGCTTAAAATATCAAACCACATACAAAGCACTTCAAGACTCAGAAAAGATTACTTTAAACCACTTTGAAAGGGACCGTTTATTGAACCAGAAGCCTGGGGTGGGACGGCTACTGCCATTCAGCACTAGTTTTATTCCCGAGCTTCCTAGTCGCCAAGATAAAATTGGAAAAACTTGTACATCATCACCATAAGATCCCAGGAAGCACAGCAATTTGTCAACAGAAACAAATATTTTATGAGCACTAAGTTCAAGAGATTTTATCATGTGAATTCTCATATAAAGCTCGCCAAAGGGCATAATGGACAATTGCTCCTACTGTGATTTGGCAAGAGAGTCTACAATACAATGATCAGTGGTTCCCAAACAGATGGTGCTAATGTCAGGGTGAGTAC